CGTCACTTCTCTTAAACTAGGTGAGGTGAGGTGAATTGCGGTGTGTTGAGGTGAGTTGACGTGAAGTGACATGACGTGACTTGGCGTGACTTTGCGTGACTTGTCGTCATTACGCGTGACTTGGCCTGATTTGACTTGAATTGGCGTGACTTGACGTTACTTGGCGTTCCTTGACGTCATTACGCGTGACTTGGCGTGTTTTGACGAATCTTGGCGTGACTTGACGTGATAACGCGTGACTTGGCGTGATTTGACGTTACAAGATGTGACTTTACGTGGCGTTACCTAACATGACATGAGGCGAAGCGAGACCGGACGAGGCGAAGCGAGGCTAGGCTAGGCTAAGTCAGGTTAGGCTAAGTTAAGTTTGGTTAGGTTACGTGAAGTTAAGTTAGATTAGGTTAGGTTAGGTTATGGTAGGTTAGGTTTGCGCAGAACGCATGTTCGCATCAATCAGTAACTGAGCGGTACACGTCCCTTCTCTTTAATTAGGTGAACTGATGTGAGATATTGTTAGGTGTGGTGTGGTCACGTGAAGTGACGTGACTTGGCGTGACTTGTCGTGTCTTTACATGAATTGATGTGCCTTGGCGTAACTTGACATGAATTGGCGTGACTTGACGTGACTTGGCGTTACTTGGTGTGACTTGACGTTGCTTAACGTAAATTGAAGTGAGGCGAAATGTGACCGGGCGACGCGAGGCTAGGCTAGGCTAAGCTAGGCTAGGTTAGGTTAGGTTACGTGAAGTTAGGTTAAGCTAGGTTAGGTTAGATTAGGTTAAGTTGGTATTCTTTAAATTAGGTTAGGGTAGGTTAGGTTTGAGCAGTAGACTTGTGCTCATCAATCAATAAGTTAGCGGAATACGTCCCTTCTCTTAAATTAGGTGAGGTGTGGTGAATTGCGGTGTTGTGAGGTGAGGTGACGTGAAGTGACATGACCTGACTTTGCGTGACTTGTCGTGATTACGCGTAACTTGGCCTGATATGACTTCAATTATCGTGACTTGACGTTACTTGGCGTAACATGACGTCATTACGCGTGACTTGGCGTGATTTGACGTGACTTAGCGTAACTTGGCGTGACTTGACGTGATAATGCGTGACTTGGAGCGATTTGACGTTACAAAGCGTGACTTTACGTGGCCTGACCTAACTTGACTTGAGGCGAAGTGAGACCTGGCGAGGCTAGGCTAGGTTAGGTTACGTCAACTTAGGTTAGGTTAGGATATTTTAAGTTAGATTAGGTTAGGGTAGGTTAGTTTTGCGCAGTAGACATTTGCGCATCAATGAGTAACTGAGCGGTACACGTCCCTTCTCTTAAAGATTTAGTGAGAGTGTAATCACTTCTAAGTGTGATACTAAAAAAAAAGCAGTCGCTAAACAACTAGCCAGGGATCCCTTCGCAATAATTTGAGTTATTTCAAGTTTGGTTTGAGGGATTAAGGACAAATGCTGTTACCTGAACATCAAAAAGTGCCCATTAAACAGTGTGTGTTAGTGCTTAGCTATAAACACTCTTATCTTCCCGCTAACGCGAGGCCTGTATGCACCATGAGACAGAATCTCATTGCCCTAGTGCGAATGCAGTAACTATCACCTGTATGTTCCGGTCCATCCACCCTTTTTCCTGAAACTAAGCCTTATTTTTAGCTTACTGGCGCCCAGCATTCATGTAACACATATTCCGCAAACAGCCAATATCAACAACAACAACAACAACAACAACAAAAAGGGAAGAAGAACTGGATAAGAAGGACGCAGTAGCAACCTTCAGACTCGGAGTGACAACAGGTGAGAGGGAACGGCTAGAGGAGAAGCTGCAACCAGCAACATAGGAGCCGAAAGACCGTTAGAGAGGAGATGGCGCGTCACGTAGGGGCCAAAGGACGATTAGAGAGGAGATGGCGCGACACGTAGGGGCCAAAGGACCGTTAGAGAGGAGGTGGTGCTAAACGTAGGGCCACAGGACGGTTAGAAACCATTGCACAAACAAGTACAATTAAATGGCCAAAAATTAGATTATATTTATTGTTCAAGCTGAGAAGGTCAAAAGGAAACTTTCTTTAGTTGGTAACCTAACATATTGCTTTCGGGAAGCTGTTGATTGTTGGATACATATGTCAAGAAATTGTTTCTTATAGCCAATATCACGTGTCGAAGATAAGCAGAGATAGAATACCGATGCAAAACCGAAATACTTCGTTTGTGACATAGAAAGGATTAAAAACATTCTTCTCAGTGACGATGGACTGTTAAAACGCCCACATCGGCCAATTTCATACTACATTCATAAATTATATAGTGATGCAGTAATTGTTTGCTGCTAGGGTGGCAGCACTGTGCCGGTTGCAGCAAGCAGGATATTGGATACCCGTTGCTGACTTTACAGCTTCCGCAGCTCTTGCAAGTAATTTTCAGAGTGGAAACAAGGGTTGGACATAACACACTCGCCTATATAACAAACTGCTGTAAGTTTTCTCCCTTCCACTCGAAGAACTGCTCTGACATTTCTAACGGTCCCCCGAGATGAAACTTAGTCTTATTTATTCACTTTTCATAAATTTTCAAGTGACTACATGGTTAATGCCACACTGATCGTGGTGAAGGCTGTGGTACTGGGAGACAAGTTTTCTTCGAGTACTTCAGTTTTCCCTACCAATTCTCACTGAATCAGCTGCTTCACATGCATTTTTGATCCCATTTCCGATGCTGTTCTAGTCTATTCTAGATACTGACAGCGTTGTTGAATAACAAACTTGAAATAAACATTTCTAACTTAGGGGGCATATTTATTTCAAAGCAGCGATTAATTTTATTTCAACCCGAATGTGACACAGTTCAAATTTAATTTATAAATTGGAGTTTAATTGAAGAACCTTTATTTTATATTTCAGGAAGAGAATTGACATTGTTTTAGTAACTATGGAAGACTTTAGTAGGAGTGTTGTGCTTAAAATCTCAATTATGGCTGCCGTTATGTTCCTCGCAGTTCAAACAGGTGATGTACTGATATGTTTGTATTTGCTAAGAAAATTTGTATTCAATAAACTTTTATATATATTAAAATAATGAATATATACAATATAGTCTCTTAGAGAAATGCGGCAAATTTCAAGTCAGACCGAGCATACTAGCTCAAGCGGTGTCGATTCTGACTTGTATCCTGGAGGTAGCCGACTTGAATCTAGGATCGGACAACGACTATCCTGACTGAGGTTTTTCATAGTTTTTATCAGTTCCTCCAGGTGAATACCGGCACAATTCTTTGATATAGGTTACGACTGCTTTCTTCCACATTCATAGCCATCCAACCATTTGGTGCTAACTTTATAGTCTATGATATTGACAACCAATTCTGGGATATCACCCACATTAGGCTGTGATCTCTCCTTCCTAATCCTTTCAAATTCATCATTCTTCGGTCATCCTTTTATCGGACGATATATAGGGAGGCCCTGATAGCTATGCCAGCGGTAGCGTAGCTACTGGCAGGGCCTCCCTTGCTGGACAGGTCAAAGGGTAGGCATCAGACGAAGAGAGACACCAAAAAATGATGCCGGAAGCAGCGTCATCAGCAGCGACTTGAAGCACAGAACAAATGATGCTCGAGATGGTTCAAGTTCATATAGCAACAGACGTGACCAGAGTGGTTTAAACGGCTGTTGTACTGCGATGTGGAAAGCAAATGGAAAAATTACCACATTATCACTTTTCATGGATAGTCTATTTCCAAAAACAGATACACCATGTATGCGAACCAAAGACGATGAAGAATACGTAAGAAGATGCTGGATGACCTTGGGGACAGAAGAGGATTTTCTCATTTGAAGGAGAAAGCTCTAGATCGCATTAAGTGGAGGAACTGTTTTGGAAGAGACTATGGACCTGTCGTCTGACAGATTACTGATGAATGAATGAATATAGGGAGGTTCTTAACTTTGTTGACTGGTTCACGGCTCTGGGCTTCACGGAGACCGGTGCGCTGCTTGTCGCCAGGTGGATACTAATATTTCCAATGAACCAGCATGCCTGATGACCGATAAAATTTTGAATGAAAGAAGGGGTAAGTTGTGGACCGCTTGACGGCATTATGTTTCACGACGAGCAGTGCGGTTCATGCGTGAGAGTTTAAGATGTGTCAGGAGTAGGCAGCAGTTATCAGGTCATTTAGCCATTTGCTCTCAGTTACATTTAGTGAGCAGTGTGGTACATCATTGTGCGGTATACTTCAAAGCAACGTCTATTTCTGTATGACACCTCTCTGAAATACGGATCTTCTACAAAGTGTCGACGTAAATTTCGTGATCAAAGAGTTCCCAGCAGACAAACAAATCACAGTTTGGTGAATACACTTAGAACAACCGGACTGTGAATAGACAAGGAACCAAAACGTAAGCGCCGAAAGCTTACTGAGAACAAGTTAGATGACATGGGCCAGACTCCAAGTAATCGTGTGGGTGGATAAGCACGTATCAGAACGTATGATGTGGTGGCGCAGAAGAATGCAATCTCAATCTTCATGGTTGTGAAAACTTCAAATTCCCTTTCTTCATTATTTACATATTTGAAACGTCGCCTCTCCCCTTTCTTTCTTTCTTTCTTTCTTTCGTTCATTATACCGTATTTACGCATGTATAGGCCACGTGCGTGTATAGGCGGCAGGACAATTTTCAGACAGAAATTATAGAAAAAATAATTTTCTTGGAATATTATTTCAGGAGTAGAACACCCTGTATTACTAATTATGAATATAATTTTTTTAAATGAAGTGTGATTTCCAATATTTCGAATATAAGCCGCACCCCAGTTTTTCTCTTGAATTTTTGGCAAAAAATGTGCGGCCTATACATGCGTAAATACGGTATTTAACATTTTGACCAGTGGCCTAGGCGGAAATTTACGATTTCAGATTCGTAGTGGCTAAGTGAGAGTTTGGATAAGAATGTTCTCTGTCGTCAGTCATACTAGCGTCGTTTGTTTATGGGAATTTTGACCGGATCGATAGCTGACCGCCCGTCACCCAACCATTGTCGTCCTGGCGCCAACAGGAGCTGTTAACCCCGTGCAGTAATGGAACATCGCGTGACGCCATCTTTCTTCTTAAGTGCCTGCAATTTGTTATACATATGATGGATGATATTACGGATGACTGAATACGTGTAGATAAGACGTGTCACGCTCCAACACTGACGTGTTTTATATTTTTTTCGTGTGGATGGACTGAAGAAAATTACAGGAAGCAGCAGAATTACTGGGGTCGGATGGCATCGAAATGCGGTAACTCAAATATCAAGAGAACATTTTTTTTTTCGTAGGCTATTTCTCAATATTCCATTTCTCACCTGTACCAGTCTCTTTCCATTGACTCAAACCGGGTTCCTTTCTTCACTCCTCCTCTTGGGTCTCGTGACCATCTTCCTTTTAACTCGTTAGTAAAACCAAACCATCCTGAAGATGGAGGAAACATTGTACTCCGAAACGTTCAATACATCCACAAGGTGACGCAGTATCACAGACCAGAAAGCAACAATCTTAACACCACTGTGAAAACCTCAAAATTTTTAACAAAAACTTAATTTGAATTAATTAACTTTTACAAATTATAAGAGACGATAATTCAGTAGACTGATGGGCTATATGCTGGACATCCGGGCTTCGATTCCCAGTAGGAACATCGATATTGTCACAAGTTTATGGCTCCGTGACTAATCTTAACGGGTTCTAGGTTGGATGATTGGATTTATTAACACCTTCTGATACAATCTCTCTTAATCACAACCAGTTACAGTGCTATTGCTAACCTACCAACTTCACAAATCACTAGGTCACGTTAAGTCTTCTCAGCCTTCACTAGTCGTATCTTGGCAACGGATTTATAGCAGTCTCACTGTAACTGTAACACACATAAAACTGTATTTTATTCCTTTGTACTCCTTCAGTTCTCATTCTGTACTTCCACACATCTGAACTAACCAGTTCCGACAGAAAACACAGCCTGTATTGTTGAAAAAGCTTGTTTACCGCACCGTAGCCTAGCAATGTATCTCCCACTGGTCCGCGCCTTTGCATCTGCGGGAATGTATTTAGTGACCCGTTCTCTAGTAATTGGCATGGCACGGACCACATAGGAAACAATTCTTGCAATGTCTTTTCTATTTTTGCTTACGTGTATTTTGGGCTTTGCCTAGAATTGGATCTACATGTCAGAATTTATTTTTTATTTTGAGACCTCCACCGAAGAAATTGGGGGCACATTGTAACGTAGTTGGTTGAGGCACTATGCTACAAGCCGGAAGGTCACGGGTTCAAGTCCCGATGAAGTCATTGTATTTTTTCAATTGATCTAATCCTTCCAGCCTCACTATGGCCCTGGGGTCGACTCAACCTCTAACAGAAATGAGTACCAGGAATTAATTAAATAATTTTCCTGGGGAGTCAAGCGCGGCCGGCGCGTAAGGCTGACAACTTTACCGCCATCTTTGAGCCGATTGTCTAGATAATGTGGGACCCTCAACGTCTCACAACCCTATGGGCCTTCACGGCCTGTTACACGGGTAGTTTTACTTTACTTTTTTACCGAATAAATTAGCCCAAGCAAAGCTTTTGACTTACTTTCGGAAAATAACAGGTTCGAATCTCGGCCTAGTTACAGACTGTCCAGACTATTCCTGATTTGACTTGATTCCTCTTGGCAATTGCCTGGCTATTGCCTCAAATTAGGCTACTACGCTTCATTTCAAATCCTGTCAAAACCACGATTTGCTAATCACACGGTTATTTGACGCTTCATAGTCTTAGCTGATAAAAACTTTATTAGATGTACCATAAACATCAGTTGACTACCATACCCTAAATGATTCACCTAGCATGCTAAAAAAAAGGGCACCGTGATTGTTTCGCTGGCGATAGAAACGTCTGGAAATTCGCTATGACCAATCACTTAATCTGGTTCCGAGGTTAATAATGCGTGCAGCGTTACTTCCTCCGTCCATACGTGTCTTTGTGGCGTGATCCTAAAACACGAATCGCCTTTTCTTACCAAGCAAGTTTGGAGGAATTTTCTTTTTGCACTTTCTTTCCCACGCTTGGAATTCTGGGTTAAGTTTTGTACTTAATAAAATGTCTGGTGCAGATGTATTAAACGGAGAACGTATACTAGTAAATCTTTTCCCCCTCCATAGAAATACAAGAAATTCACTTTCAGAAATACTCAAAAGGAAGTGTGCAATCAATGACGTCCTCAAATCTCGAGACGTAGAAAGAGGTGGCACGAGCTGCGTCGTTATACACGCCCGCATTGCATCAGAAAACGAACTGGAGTCAGAATCTGACCCTTTGAAGCCTGAACTTCGTCTAAGTAATAGTGTGTATATAAAAAGATACCAGTCGTAGGAAAAACAGTGCGTCTCATAGACTAAAAATAACAGATTATAATAGGTAATATTTATTACATTCCTGGCAACACAATATTGTTTTCAGAAGGTGGAGACTGTTGTTTAGGACGACACGTTTCTGCACATGTTAGCCTTCTTCAGGTCCTGTATTTAGTTACAATTATTCTGTCTGATACTTAACGTAAGTCTTCCACGTAAGCCGAGTGGAACCACCGGTGTGTTATGTATAGGGACCGGATTCTTATGTCCTAATAATCCCTTAAATATGTATGCATTTATGCATGAAAAACTTCCGAAATATGAACTAAAATATGTATATAAAAATTTGTACCAAATATTAAAATTGATTTTACATTATTTTAAGACCATCAAATCAATATTTAAGTTTATTTTATGTAATCACTGAATGATTCACTTGCAATAAAAGCTATACTTAAATACAAATCATGCAACAAAGTCAACATATTTCATTACAAATTTAAAAAACCAGTGGTACTCACATTTAGCTCTCCGAACTTTCAACTTCTCTTCTGTTGCAGTTCACAATTCCTAATTATTTTAGGTTTTCCATTGTTAGTCGCCTCCTATTGTCTCGTAAGTTGTCCTTATAGCGGGAAACATTTTTGTTATTTTTGCTACACTGTTAGTGATTTTTTACTTGGCAGTTCAGTACGTTTACCGGCTAAAATTTCTTCAATTTCACAAATTTCTTCATATCCTAAATTATTTAAAAAATGCTGTTTACTTTTTCCTTTACTACTTCACCAACTCTTCCAGGAACCGAATTAAATTTGGAAACAATGGTTTTGAACACACTTAACGACTGATACAAAGTAATCTTGCTATTGCTTGCCTCCAGTGAGGAAATGGCGAATGGAAGATGAGAGAAGTGAGCAGATATATAAGAAAGATTAGTTTCTAGTTCTACGTTTTTTAGTACATCTTGGGCAATTTGAATTGATGCTGCACTTTTGGGATCAAATGTATTCACGACATTCCTTACTGTTTCTAAATGTTCGGTATAATAACTCGCTGCACACAGCCACGTGCCCTAGCGCGTTAAAATTGGTTCTGGCGGAAGTGGAACGCTCCGTGCTACTGCTTTAAAGGCTTCTTTCCTGTATGGCGCTTTAACAAATACCTTCTTCACAGGAGACACCAACTTGTCAACAAGCGGAAAATTTGCACGAATTGTTTCTGCAACACTGTGCAACCCATGGGCAAGACAAGTCAAATGTGTCATATTTGGAAATATAACTTTAAGAGCAGTGCCGGCTTTCATCATATAACTTGCGGCATCAGTCACAAAGAGCAATACGGGCTCATTCTAAATGCCATTCGGCCATAGTAAATTCATGGAACTCATAAAAAATACGGAAACTGCGGAGCTATTTGTGGTTTCAAATTCCTCTACCGCAAGAAGATATGGGAGAGATGGTTCATTCTTATTAAGGGATCCAACTATACAATTTGCATTACACCGTCCCTCACAATTTGTGTTTCTTCAATTGATACCCACACAAAATTATCTTGAATCTTATCTCTAATGCTTTCAATTTTAAGATCGTAACACTGCTTCAAGTAATTTTTGCGCACAGTAGATTCATCCGGCACTTTGCACTGTGCATATTTCTCTATGAAGTTTCTCAGAGTAGGATTGGTTAATTTCCATAGCGGAATATCTGCCGCTAAAAAGTCTTCGCATAAATCAAAGGAAATAAATAAGTGAAGTCCCTTATCGGATGAATAGTATTACGTTGATAACGGTTACATGTGAACGCTTCCCACTAATCTCTTCGCGGCCACTTTGATGGTACGCGGATGAGGCAAGTTACGAGTAGATGGATCGGGGAAGTCCCGTCCTGGGTATTGCATCAGAAACATGAATCATGACGAAATGTTGAGTCAAATATGCAACATATTCTAATACGGAAAAGAAAAATTGATTGAAAATTTGAACATAAAATTAAAAAAATATATGATAAACTTTTAAAAAGGAAATATGCAGTATAAATAGAGATCTTCGAAAATATGAAGCTTTTTCATAAACAGGCAAAATATGCATTTATATGCACCATCAAACCATGTCCAAAATATAAGAAATGAAGTAGTTCATACATATATCCAAACGAGCATACTTTGTAGTTACAAGAAAGGAATATGCATTTGCATTAAAATCCGGTCCCTAGTTATATATTATATATACTATATGCCATGTAATATACATGACAATGGATTTGTTTTTATATCCAGCAAACTCTACCTGCTGGAAATAGTGTTGCGTTGAAAGGTGCAGTGACTGAGCAGGATGCAACAAAATATGACTGACCTGGTACACTTAATGTTATTCGAGAAAACAGGTATTTTATCTCAGAATCACAAGAAATATATAAACATATTATATATAGAATTCAAAATGTTAATATTATAAACAGATATTACATCTAGTAACCTCTATTATCTAAACGGTTACGAAACGTTTTCGTATAAATTACTCTAGGATAAAATTATTGACGTAGAATTATGTTGCAGCGAGTGGCATCATGTGTTTCCAGTGCAATTCAGCAAGGGACCCGGGATGTGAGGATATTTCAGGAAACAACACAAGTAGCTCCTACTACAAGCCATGTGTACAAACCATAGGACAGACTAAACCATTCTTCTGCAGGACTATCAAACAGACTAGTGAGTTTCACCGTTGTCAAGTAACTATATTTAGTTTGTTTGTGAATTCTTGAGCGTTGCGCTGTCTAACGTACGGTGATGTCGGCAGTAACACTTCTGACGTCAGCACCAGCTGCCTACATCCTAACTGCTATGTCAAATTTCGGTGCAAAGATTACGATTAAATTATTTTTTGGAAACCAACAGCGATTGCCAGAGTCTGAACCTTTTTTCATATCAGGTGTGATAAAATAATTTGCTAACTGCCAGCGAGATGGCACTACTTCTGCTAGCATGAACTTCTACCGCTGGGTGTAGATGGAGTAGAGTCTTCTGAGCCATTTTCAGCTTGGAGCAAAGTTGTAACACGTAAGATTGAGTAATGTCTTATTAAGTACAAGTGTATATTATTCCATTTGAAATTTTTGCGTACCCAGAAAATGACAGACATGAAGGAACAGAGCTTCTGCAGCAAATTTTGCTTTAAACTGCGGAACAATGCGGCAGAAACTTTCGAAATGTTAGAAGTATATTTTGGAGAACAAAAAATTTGGAAGAACACACGTTTATGTGTGGTTTTCCAATCTGAATTGCGGTATGACCCCTCTTGGAGAAGCCGACCCCTCTGGACGTCCATCGACGAACACAACAGAAGAAAACGTGAATAAAGTAAACGAACTTGTCCACGAAAACAGAAGAATCACTACCCGTGAAATTCCTAACATACTGAGAGTCTTGTATACGGTGCTAAACAGAGTGATCACCAGGGCCCGGATTTTGATGACATGTCATCTTTTTTTCCTTGTATCCTGTGCGATCCCCTTAAATATATAAGTCTCGAATATGAGCTGCTGGTTACAGAAATGTAAATTTTATAGTTTTTTTTCATTTTTTGACATTTTTAGGTTTAAGGTCATTTTTTTATTTTGGAGGTAATTTTTTGGTATTTTTTTAATTTTAAGGGTATTTCTGGCCATTTTTGGCCATTTTAGGGAATTTTTCTTCATATGTTTTCTGAAATGTGAATAACACGGAAGCGAAATATTCTTTCTTTTCTCCTTTAGATCATTTTTCTGGATTTTTTCTGTCATTTTATAGGTAATTTTTTGAATGCATATATCGAACACTTCTACCTGCTAAATTAAATTAAACCAGTTTAAGTTTAATGTCTAAACTTTCGGACAGTCCATCTTGCTTAATTGCTTCCAAATAAATTTCTGAAATTGGAAAGATCATGTGTGCTCAACCAGCGTAAAACTGAAGTGGTATCTGATATAATCACGAGGTCATGTTTTGTATATTTGCTTCACCAGTAAACAAATTCAAGGAAGATAAAAATTGCGTCAATAACACACGTATTCCATTGTTTAGTACAATTTTGCTCCTCCATATAAACCAGCATAAGAGCCTTAAATAAATCGCATGAATTCGACATAAGAAGGAGAAGCATTTTTCTGCAATTGCCACTCCTTTGGATTTTCGTACGTAATTCATAGAATGTACACATGAAGTGCCACTTGAATATTGCGTTCCCAGTTCTACGTTTACATGGAATAATATTTAAACTAAAATTTCCACTCATAATTAATTGCATCCATGTCTTACGGATATTGTTTTCCATGCCGCATTTTAATCACGTCAAATTTATTATTAGAACTTATCTTAACATCACCTCAGGCTGGCTCCATTTGGGAAACTAGTTCTTCACGGAAATAATTATAATTCTAACCTCAAGCATTGGATTGGTAATAGCTCAAATTTTCTGTAAATGCGTACAAAAAAATAGGTAGAAATATTTTCTGAATTTATCCAACTAATATTTTACACACGCGCACCTTTAGATGTACATGCATTCAGTGAGCATTTTTTTTCAAACACTCTTTCCCTAATTACGTATCCAAGAAAATAACGTCATTATTAGTGATTCATGGGAATATTTTGTACATGGTTACGTCCTTATCGGATAATAGATTCACGTCTTACGTTCTCTTAAATTATTAGCGTTGACACGATGTAGGCATCGGCTCTGTGCCACACATATCTGTCGCTTGCACTGAATTACACTCATTTCTGTCGATACTAATTACTGTTTATATTTTTTGTAAGTCTGAGTAATGAAGTCACACTCAAAACGTATAAGAACTAATCTTTTAAATCTGTCTTCTGTCCGTTGTTGGTAGGCCTGTCATTAAGATCAAGTGGCGCAATAAAAACAGCAGAATTAATTCCCTAGTCATGACGTCATGCAAAACGATGCTTTTAACGAGTGATATAAATAGAACTCGGGTAGACCTCTAGGGGCCAAGAAGGAAACTCCCGTATCGCATTTTGCGGAGGACTATCCACTTTATGGGCCCAAGACATATTAACATGATAAAAGATAAAATATATGAATTAGTAATGGCACTTATCATGTAAAGCGTATGAATAATGTCTTCCTTTGTCATGGCGTTTAAAATTGCAACGTATAATTTGTTTCGTTTATATTTTCGTCTCATTCTCTGCCTTACAGTTTCCGTCTTACAAGCATATTCCTGGCCAAAATTTCTATATTTCTATTTCTATATTTTTATTTCTTTAACCCACTCAGCCCTTTCCCCTTTATGTAATTAGCACAGAACAACAAGAGGAAGTAATTCACAAAGAAGTTGCCCAATACGCCATTTGCTTCATTGTCCAATTCATTCTTCTCTCGCAGATCCAGGCATACTCAGCGGTACCCTCATTTTAAATGTCCTGTGTGCTTGCACTTCGATTAGGGAAGAAACTATGTTTGGCAATCATATAAAAATTATTTAACATATCTTTCTTTTTTGTTAATAGTCTTCTGCACTATGCAATGATCTTCGATATTTCTAACTTTGTAACTGACTAGCAGCGTAACTATATCCTTGTCTTCTCTATAATCTATTTACGTATTATATGTATTTTACCCTACATAGATCTGAGAGTGAATATGCCTCTGTTTTTTGAAATTCTGTTAACACATACTGATGACAAACTGTAACAGATCCAGCAGAAGTTCCCAGCCCTCTGTTTTAAACGTTTCTTTCCCACGCCCGTTACAGGTATGCTCTAGTGTAGTTAAAACTGTACATCTTACGTAGGATGAGGTATCACCTTGATGTACTGCTCCTTATTCACATTTACTTCCGCTATAAATTTTGCCCTCTTTTGGAAACTGTTGATCTTCGTGTGGTTCTTAGTATATCAAATGTATTCTGTGTTCAGTATCTGCTGTTCAAGTAAAAACTGTCCTTCCGCTACATTCGTTTCAAAAACTGTGTTTTTGTACAGCCGTTAAAGTATTTGAAACCAGGACAATTTAAGAGAAACAGGTTAACTTTTAGAACATGTACTCTAATAATGACTTCTAACTGTATTGATGTAAAGGTGTCCCTCTGAAGATGGTCTCTTAAGACCGAAACATTTAAGGGCGTGAATAATTGAAATAAGAAAATCTTAACCAGTCGCACTGGACGGAACTGTTTAGCTTTTTCAGAAGCTGGTTATTTTACTTACATATATTATAATGGTACTTCGTAAATATTAAAATATTAATTGTATTCAATATGAGTGTATGTGTTTATATTTTTCACATCATATTGGTTTGTGTGAGTGCACTGATGATATTTATTGGTGTATAAATGATAAAAGTTGCATTATTTTGCTTTTATTTGTGTATATGTCTGTTTTATTTCTTCCTCCTGTGCAAGATTACTTTGTAATTTTCCTTCGAGCAGCCCAGTTAGCACATAAATAAATCAAGAATAGAATATAATTATTATTATTAGTTACTACTGCTTCTGCTGCTAATAGTCAACGTCCTTGGAAACTATGATACGATTTCAGTTTCTATTTTGTTAAGCCTGCGACTAGAATTTTTGTTGTTGTTGTTATTGTTATTATTATTATTATTATTATTATTATTTACTCTTCTTCAAGTATAATTAGAATTTTCAAGTCAAGGAGGATTAGATGGGCAGGGAATGTAGCACGAATGGGGAGAGGAAGGATGTATATTGGATATTGGTGGGAAAGCCAGGTGGGAAGAGACCACTGGGAAGACGAAAGCGTAGGTGAGTGGACAATATTAAAATGGATCTTAGAGAGATAGGATGGGATGGTATGAATTGGATTGATCTGGCCCAGGATAGGGACCAGTGGAGGGCTCTTGTGAACCTTCGGGTTCCATAAAATGCTGGGAAGTTCTTGAGTAGCTGCACAATTGGCGGCTTCTCAAGAAAGGTTCAGCTCCATGAGTGATTATTATTATTATTATTATTACGTATTTAGGAGTTGTGACTATAGACGGGGTATGGATTGGTGAATGGGTTTATTTACCACTTGTATACTCATACACAACTCGGGCATCTTCCCGGTGGAATCGAAGGGACGGACCCCCGCGCCCACTTTACAGATCACTGGAACACACAGACTAGTGTTCGCAGTACATTTCAATGTCGACTAACCGTTTCCTGGCAACGGCTCTTACTGAGGGAGATTCTATAGCTTCCCGCATTCAGGTCCTCTTGTCACAGCCTCCCGTGCAGAACTCTTGTCAACTGGCAACTCAGAATAACTGGGTTCCAGACTGGCAGCCATTTCACGCCAACTTCCTAGTCGTCTTTTCACAGGCTGACTTTCAGCTGACAACTGACCACTCTCACTCACCAACCAGCTACTTCACGTTACTTCACTCACCTGAACTGCTGACAACTACAACCAACAACTAACTCGTTGCTTCAATCTGTCCTCCTTATAACATCTCGGCACTTACCACCACTTACCACATCTTTTCCATTGTTAGAGTCCAACAATACCTCGACCGTTGCATAGAAACGGGTATGTATTTTCTCATTGGATAGCAACGGCTGTTGTTTACAGACTCACTTCTTAGCAACGGGTCTATACACCACATTATTAATATTATTATTATTATTATTATTATTATTATTATTATATTGTATTTTGTAGTAAAAGTCGGCGGTAACCTTGTGCGGGTAGTACGATCCTGCGGGTGGGAGAAGCACTCCAGAAGACAGTGCTACGATTATGAGGACGAGAACCACCGAGAATGGGTGTGCCAGTGTTTCGAGGATGGCTGCAACTCCAAAGCTCCTCATGTGATGGAGACGTCAATCACTGCCTACGTCACGTGTCTCCTGTTGTTAGCTTTTCTTCACATGAGCTAGTCTTCTTCGTTTCTTTCTCCACTCTTGCCTAAACAATTTCCCGACAACCGTTGACAGTTTCCATGTTTCGTTCCTTCTTCACCATCACATACTCCCCCATACAAGCGCTCTCAATTGTGCCATGTACAATACTGTGACGGGTTGCTGAAAACATTAAGACATGGAACCAGAAAATCGCTTGTAACGCGGTGAACAACAGAACTTAGGTAACTTAGTAGCGAAGGTCTCAATAATCACGACAGAAAGGAATTATTGTAGACGTCTCGTAGGCAACTGATACAGAAATGTGCAGTTACATCGGAGGCGCAAGAAGAGAACCTTCAAGGTTGTGCTCTCCATACGGTTCCACCATAACCTGCCTCAGGAAGAGAACTGGCCAGAAAACGACAGAGTGCAACAGAAGGATAAAGGAGAGAAGACTAGAGGTTACTGCAGACTCCAGACAACATGAGAGATTCGTTATCCAGAAGGAGTTAAATGTGTGAACTGTTGTAATCAAGTGAAATTGTAACAGTGCTGTCCAATAAATTCAGTCAACCAAATCTAGAACCCACAATATGAGTCACGCGTAACCACCTACACGAGACAATATTGTAGACTAACATATCTATCCTAACGTGTTTCATTGGTCGTTCATATTGAAAGAGAAATGGAAAATATTGATACATCGACATCTTGATTTATTTACTTCCATCTGTCAGTTTCTCGATGTGATGGTAATGTATTGAGAAACGCGATAAATCTAGTCATATGATTTCATGAGAGTAAATTCAGATCCCACCATGTTAAGGATAAAGCCAGATGTCCATTTGTTGTAACATTCCTGAGAAAATCTGCATCGGCGTGCTAAAGAAATGGTACAGCACTTTGGAAATATTCAAATGGATAGGTGATTAACAGCGTTGCGTCTCTTCAACACTTTGTTGGTACGAGCTATTTAGCTTCCATCATTACAAGAGTCTATGTGTCTACATAACATGCACAGAAAACCGACAGAACTTAGAATCGTATAACTAACTTCATGGAACTGTTTCTTCTTGAAAATCTGCCAGTTATGTAGCTCTTCAGAATTTCCTAACATTTTATGGAACTTGAAAGCTCATTACAGTGTCCACAAGGGCCCTCCTCTGGTCCCTATCCTGAGCCACATCAGTCCAGTTCACACCACCTCATCCCATCTCTCTAAGACCCATTTTAATATTACCCAAATACCTACGTCTCGGTCTTTCTAGAGGCCTCTTCCTTCTGGTTTTTCCACCAATATCCTAGATGCATTCCTCTGCGCCCCTATTTGTGCTACATACCTTGCTCATCTCATTATCTTTGGCTTGATCATTCTAATTATATTTTGCGAAGAGTACAGGTTATGAAGTTCTTCACTGTGCAGTTTTCTCCATTCTCATGTTACTTCATTTCCTTTCGGTTCACATATTTTCCTCAGCTCCCTGTTCTCAAATACTCTCAGTCTGTGTCCTTCACTTAAAGTTACATACCAAATTTCACACACATACAGAGCCACAGGCAAAATTGTAGCTTCGTATTGTCACGTGTCGGGGGGTTGGGTGATTGGATTTATTAGCCCTTCGGTTTCAATCTCTCTGAATGACAATTAATACAGCGCTATCACTGATTTACACAATTCACAGTTCACCGTTGCACGCGTACTAGGATTCTCCGCCTTCAATAGTCGTCTCCTGGCAACGGATCTCAACACCGAAACTAACGCTTCAAATAAGTATGAATATTTCTTGTTACTTCGTCTTCAATCAATCTATACTCCTCTATCCCAATCTGTACTCAATCCTCAGAGTTCACTAAGGACACGCTCCGTTCTCGTCCTTGTACTGTCAACTACTGAACCATCCTGGACTCTTTTCCTTGACGGATTTGTTGTCCTTGACACACGGCTTCTCAGCTATGAGTGACTGCCAACGACCTTCAGTCGTCCCTATAAATCTTTGGACGGATCCCATAGAAAATACCTATTTTTGTAGACGTGTTTAGAGCTCTATTGCTTAACACTGGGCATGGCGCGGACAACATTGAAAACAAGTCACGTGATAGCTATCTCACCAGTCCATTGAAGCGATGGCTGTTGCATAGCAACCAGCTATAAACATTCGTTCTATTGTTACGTGCGCGTATCGTGAGCCGTTGCCTGGCAATGTGTTGACATATCAGAGTATATTCTAACATTTACGTTTTTAGACAGCAGACGAGACGATAAAATGTTGCAGACTGAATAGTAGCAAGCATTACTCGAACACAGAATCGTATATAATGATGATTCATAAGAAGCTCAAGCGAACATGGAAACGAAGGCTCAGTTTCCGATTTCACTCTCTTTTTTTTTCCTTGGCGATACAGCCCCAGTGGGCCTAGGCCTATCTCCATGAACTTCTCCGTTCACTTCGGTTTCTTTAGATCTTACCCATTCGGTAGGATTACTTGGGCGGGTGATTAGCTCGTCACAAGGTCTCTACCTGTACACAGACACAAAAACACACCACACAAACTAAACATCCATGCCCTGAGTGAGATTCGAACCCACGATTCTGGTTTCCAAGCGAGCGAAGACAGTACATGCTTTAGACCGCTCGGCTAGCATGAAATATCCGGTGCTGGTTAGAAAGAAAGATTCACTTCAAATTTCAAGTCATTTTATGGTGTATGATTATGTATAACGTATATCGATTTAAATCGTCCGAAAATTCTCCAGCACACAAATATGTTGATTGCCATAAGAGTAAAAATTTTTATTGACCAAGGATTAAACAGCTTGTGTGTACACATGTATATATGTTATGAATAAAATTTCATATTAACTAACGTTATGTTGTGTTGTGTTATGTTATGTTATGCTCTGTGGCAATCACATTACCACTCAGTTCAAATCCAAAAACAAGTTATAAATATATGTCCACAAATATCAGTGTGATGTGATGAACACTCCTGGCTATACACCACAAAAGATTGTTCATCATGCATGGAGTCGGTTTGTCTCCATTGGGCTGGGTCCACTCGGCACGTAGGCTACTGATTGGCCTATTGTATTTGCTCGGGTGATTATGACGATGGAGAATTTGGTGGAAGGAAGATTGGCAGGGGAAATTGAAGTACTCGGTGAAACCCTGCCCCAGCGCCGCTTTGTCCACTACAGATACCACTTGAGCAGAGACGGGCTCGAACACGGGCCGCCGCGGTGGGAAGCCAGGGACTAACCGCTTGAGCTTTGGTGCAGTCCTAAAGAGAAAGAAAGAAAATCCCTTATCGTAAACAAATATAACAGCCACAAAGAGGAAAATAAAAATATCTTTCGCGAAAATGATTTAAATTTTTGCGTTTTTATTAAGGAAGGTGGAGTAGTAATCAGTAACAGTATCTGGAAACTCTTCCCTTAATACATAAAATTGTAATACCAACAAGAATATTATCCAGAATTATGTTATGCTGACAGGTTTTTCGCGTGTTTCCTCAGTCCCTTCAAGAAGTTGCCTGAATGGTGTCTTAACTTGCACCACATTCGTTACAATTCGTTATTCTCTGACCAGCCTACCGATCCACTGACACTCATCGAATCAAATAAATAAATAAATATGGGAACACAGAGCAAGTTGGTGTAGTGACAATTCTCTTAGTGTTTTGTTCGATATACCGGTCCGAACCTCAATTGCTTTACTGGAAATTTGCGTTTAAGTTTATCGTAATTTTCTTCTGTCCTACCAGACCAACTGCTTCCAAGTCCTTATCTATCAAACATTCAGGCATCATTTAATAATATACAGCTTGTGCAGTTGAAATGACGTCGTTATATCAATATAGAGGCTGTGATAGATGATGATTATGCGGAAAGGGTTGCATGCGGAAGCCGAGTACTTCCGGAACAAATCATTTTCACAGACACTTAGTTCACCAAGGCTCACTTAGTCACCTTGGAAATGAACGAATCAAGTTCTTGGAAGTGAGTAACCGGCTTCTACATGTACAAGTAGAATTAGTCCTCACCTGAGGACGGAAACAGATCCAGTTTCCAAAACGTTGTTTTTTTCTAGTTTATAGAATACCAGACAATGGATAAGGTCCAAAAACCCAATAATTCTGAGCAGAATCCAGACATATGAAGAGATAAACATATGCCAAAGCAGAATTCGAACCATAGATCCAGAGATCCAAAGCTCTTACGTGACTTACAAGGTCACAACAGACAATTCTATCGTAAATATTTCAAACTAGCATTTTATATGCGTAACTCATTTCTTGTCTTTATTTTAGCAGACCCAACTATCCTACATGAAGTTTTAGGAAGCAATAAAATGTTCCTTGCGGCATGAAAAAAACATATAGCCCATGTGGAATACTGCCAAATGTACCAGCCTGTTATCCACACGACGAACAATCGATTGTGCCCACAAGTGTAATTACATTAAATAAAAAACGAAATGAAGTGTTATTACAAACAGCTTAATAAAGCCATATTACTTCCGCCTATGAGACTCTTTCATAATCAGTGGCTGTCTGTCGACATGTTCATTTCGAAGCCTTTATTACATGGCGCGAACTATTAACACCAACACGTGACATTGTATCTTGACAGCATGTGTATCTCCACACATACTGCAGCATATGGAGGCCGCTGCTAAGTGTATTAAATAGCTGTGCCGCTTCTGACACAACATTATGTTAGAAAGACAATGGAAACCGTAAATACAGCTGTTTGTTTTTGTAGAACGTTGGTAGGGAAGAATGAGACGCAAGAGGACTGTAAAACGCTAAAGTAATGGCACTGCAGTCCACTGTGAACCGTGCCTTCTCATGGAGACACAACTACAGTCCTCCGTCGTTTCCTGCCCACTGCAGTCCACTGTGAACCGTGCCTTCTCATGGAGACACAACTACAGTCCTCCGTCGTTTCCTGCCCACTGCAGTCCACTGTGAACCGTGCCTTCTCATGGAGACACAACTACAGTCCTCCGTCGTTTCCTGCCCACTGCAGTCCACTGTGAACCGTGCCTTCTCATGGAGACACAACTACAGTCCTCCGTCGTTTCCTGCCCACTGCAGTCCACTGTGAACCGTGCCTTCTCATGGAGACACAACTACAGTCCTCCGTCGTTTCCTGCCCACTGCAGTCCACTGTGAACCGTGCCTTCTCATGGAGACACAACTACAGTCCTCCGTCGTTTCCGGCCCACTGCAGTCCACTGTGAACCGTGCCTTCTCATGGAGACACAACTACAGTCCTCCGTCGTTTCCGGCCCACTGCAGTCCACTGTGAACCGTGCCTTCTCATGGAGACACAACTACAGTCCTCCGTCGTTTTCGGCCCACTGCAGTCCACTGTGAACCGTGCCTTCTCATGGAGACACAACTACAGTCCTCCGTCGTTTTCGGCCCACTGCAGTCCACTGTGAACCGTGCCTTCTCATGGAGACACA